TATAACTAGAGGTCCCGCAGTAGTCGAAATTCGACTATAATTAATTGGAATTGTAAGTTTGTACACTATTATGTTTGTATTTTACACTTCTATAATCACAAATTTCGCCAAAACTACACTATAAAAAATATTAACAAAGACAAACAATATTTAATATATTCTCAATTTGACAACAGACGTCAAGAACTAAAGTTTGACAATAAATAGTATGCATGCGTGTGTGCGTCAAATACATGGTATGTAGTGTGTGTAATGTTTTCTTTATAGATTTAATGTATCTTTTATGCATTATTTAAACAAAATCTTAGGATTGTGCACTTCTTCTCTATATTCTCTATAAGTGTTGAAAATTTCATACTCCTCCGTCCGCGCAATTTTCGTAAAAAGGGATACAAAGTTTTTGCTTCACGTATTAATATATAGATAAAACTAGGCCAATATTATACTAATTTACTCGAATTATAATTTACGTCATACGCTAAAGTATCTAAGTGATATTTTTGTGAGTCTGCACGAGTAGGTACCACCACCATGCCTATTTCTGCCGAGTAGCAGTAATACGTTAAGGGTGGGGCAGCCGTTGTACTGTTAAAACTGAGACTTTACAACTCATGTCTCAAGGTGGGTGGCGGCATTTATGTTGCAGATGTCTATAGGAAATGTAACCACTTAACACCAGATGAGCCGTGAGCTCGTCCACCCAACTAAGCAATAAATAAAAACATTACATTCACGTTACGTTATAAAAGATGAGTACTTTTTCAACGAATGTCTAAGATCCAATTTAGTTTCATTTACTTGTAATTCGTTACGTGTTCTACATAAAAACACAGTCCTAATTGAAAACGGTCAGATTATAAAGGTACGGGTGCCATTGAATTGGCTTCGAATTGCAAAGGACGTTTGTAAAGATGCCCTCCAATAACATCGGAAGATCTTGTTAACAAGGGTTCTCTTGGATATTAGACGTAGTATTTAAGTGGATATTATCGTTTATTTTCCGGATGGTACCAATGAGAAATCTTCGATGATTCCCCAAATATAAGCGGTACGTTTATAAGTTTACTGTTCCATTTAAAATGTATTACGGATATCATGAAAATATACATTAACTACAATTAATTTAATTTTTTTTTTGCATAGAAAATCAAAAGGCTAAAGTGTCGATTCTATTTATATTTTTGTTAGAAAATTCAATGCAGAGCCTGATTTAAAAAGTAAGCAATCTCTCTCAACGTGTTTTAAAAAGTAGACCAAATTATAAGTAATAAATTTTAATTTCGCGGGCTTCATCATTTTATGATTCCAGCTTACAGCTTTAAGTTCAGCATCAATTTCGTATAATACCTTACCTATTATATACTGTACTACACTTTTCTATGAAATATTTGTCGTTGAATTCATAAATAAATAATAACTAACAAATCACGCACGGTCATTAGGTCCCAAATTAGGATTCCCTGTGTAGGTGCCAGAAACTGACATACATAATATATACTGATATACATTTAAACATATACATATATAGAGATTAAACACCCAGAAAAAGAGTAAACAAACCTGTTCATCACACGAATATTTGCCCGACGTGGGAATCGAACCCACGACCCTTGGCGCAACAGTCCGAGGCGCTCACTACTCACCACCGAGTCGGTTAGTCAGGATCATGGACAGAACCGGAGAAAACTGATGCATGGAATGATGGTACTACAATAAGTTACTTAGTCACATAAATGGGTGGTCTACTCACAACCCACTCGGTATTAAGCTGAGTTCATCGAGAATGCCTCTATCATCCTCGAGAAACGAGATTGACATCTTTTGTTTGATGGCTTTCCCATTCAGAAAACCATAACTTTTGACTGCTCTGTATCACAAAATAATATGACGATGGTACCAACCCATTCGAGCTTTTCCGTTCTACGACATCGGAGGCATAAAGAACCGGCATATATTGATGAATTTATCTTTTCAAATTGAATATTTTAAGACGTTACAGGTTCTGAACTCGTGGACTACGACAAAGAGTTCGACGTGCGAACTAGCTTATAGACAAACAGAGTTTCTCGCTCTCGATCTTCTTAGAGGGTCGCGATTCCGAACCAGTAGTAGATTCAACAAAACACTGCTCTTGCTAGGCAATGTTAGTAATTGTCTCAAGTTAAGCCCGCGAGCTCACCTACCGGTCCACTCGTAGTTGGAATAGCCCCTTGGGCTACCAAATATTAGATAAAGGAGGGAAAAAATGGTTCTGAAATAAAATGCTACTACAAGTGATTACGCAGATAAATAATTTTACAAGCTCCATCGTATAATACGATGATATTCGTTTATTGTGTCTGTCATTTATAATTCTAGGTGCGTATTTATTTTGTTTTAGTTCACTCTATTATACGAATAAAAATAATTTTCTGAACCTTTTAAATTACGATAACTTCTTTTCGCGAAGAAGACTTCGCTACTGAGATACTTCTAATCACTATCAAATTCTTTTATAGTATAGACAGCATGTGTTTATATAACCTTCTTGTCTATCTCTACACGATCGAGTATTCAAAGTAACACGAGAAAACATTTTTCTTCAGAAACCATTAAATTAATAACCATAAAGAAGAAATAAAGAAATGAAATTACATCAAAAGCATAATTTTAATTTGTTTTGTACAATTTCAAATAAGATAGATGACAAATAATAAATTAATTACCATTAAAAAATTACACGGACATAATCTCGTCTTCTCGCATTAAAACTGTATAATCTCAAAAGTTACGAATTTTACAGGAGAGTGTTTTAAAGGTTTATATGTGATATTTTTAATATGAATCATCTTTGCAGCATTTAATTTTTATTTTTTAACAGTTACATTAACTGTCTTTTAAAGTAAGATAAAATTATGTATTAATTTTGTTAGTAGTAGCAAAAATATACATAAAAAAATAAAAAATAAAACACTAAACTACGCTCTTTTGACAGTATTTACGAGAAAAATACTGGTGATGCCAAAATGATTCCGTATATTAACTCAATTTCGAATATTTTTAGAAATTGTACACTTTTAATGCGAAAAGACGAACTGTGTAGAATATGGAACTCAATACTTGATACAGGTTTTGATGGCAATACTTTAAATTATTTTAAACGCTATTTAAAAACGAACTCATAATGCAACTTACGATGCACTCTTAAAGTTTCCTTACTTAAAGTACATGGACAGACGACAATTAATTGATGTAGACAAGAACATCAAGAACCGATATAACTACGACAAAATTTGGCAGAATGCTGCTATTCTATAACACTATGAACCTTATTTCATCACATCGCAATACGAGCCATGATATTGTGAAGCATTCGGTAAAGCTGAATACAGCAAAATGTAAAACAAACTACAATACAATAAATTCAATAACCTACATATTTTAAAGATAATACGTCGCGTCGTATACAAATTTGGCTTTATCTAAACTATATCCGCTAGAGACAAAAACATATGGAGAAAGATCGTGCGAGAGACAGTGATGCAGAATGGTAAACACGACCTTCAGCATTGAGGAATACGACGCAAGGTGGAGAAGGAAACTATATCCTATTGGCATGAAACTACTACTAATGATTACTGATGATACAGTACAATATGAAATTAAAATCCTCACGGTACCGCGTCCTTGCACCCTCACAGTTAGACATACCACCCATATTTACGGAAAATTGTTAACTGTGCTTGATTTTTGTCATCCGTTAATACCTCATCTTAAAAGCAGTTCAACAAGACAGGAACACATCGCTACATTTTTTTTATATATATAATCTATGTTATATAGTATGGTATCTATGTTATGGTACGGTACGGTATCTATGTTTAAGTGAACCTGCAGTAAAGTCAAGGAGCAAGCGCAAGATTTTTTATTTTTATTGCCCTTGTAGGCAGACGAGCACACGGCCCACCTGATGGTGAGTGGTTACCGTCGCTCATGGACTTCAGCAATGCCAGGGGCAGAGCCAAGCCGCTGCCTACCGCTTCCAAGCAGCTGCCTACCGCTAGACAGGGTCAAGTGGGGACAACTTTTGAGGGCCCTATGTACCAGCGGGGTAGCCTAGGACTTCAACAACTGTATCTGTAAAAGCCCTTATTTTGCTGCAAATCAGTCTCGGTTCCAACTAAAAGGTGGCTCCATTATATGAGTTATGTCAATTCTATGTACAAATGACTCGCGAATTATTTGTGCTTATCATTTACTCCAGTAAATATTTAAAAAGAAAATGCAGCTAATCTGTTCACCTAAGCTTTTTTATAATCTAATCTATTCGTTATTATCATTATTATTATAATATATACATATTTCATCGGATTAGTCTATGGAAGGGTCTATCAAAGGAGGTTATTTAATCAAAACCTCCAAATGTCCTCCTATTTTTATTGCATTTATAGGCAGATGGATACTTCACGGTGACCATATCACCTCATGCTGATTAGTTAATGAGGCTTATGCATATCAGCGATACCAAGGGGCTAGCTGAGCCACCTGATACTGAGAAAAAATTTTCAAACGTTATTTGAAGAAGAATATAGGATGGTGCTCGAGAAACACCGTGGAGGGAGTTTATTCCAAAGCCGGATTGTGCGTGGAAAAAAAAGCTATCTAGAGACGAACTGTGGTGTGAGCACAGTTTCCAAGTAGTAAACTCTTCTCTAATGGGGAACCAAAAAATCAGAGGTGATGAGTTCCTCCGAAACAATTTCTCAGGGCACAAATCTTATCTTATTAAATCTCAATATTTATTAGCGGAATTATTTTACAAATGGAACTAAATACTTCCCCCTATCTATCGATATCTAATTTCTACATTTTTTAAAAATTTGTTTTGCTAAATCTTTTATGCATACAAAATCTCAAATCTACAACATTACTATGACACGTATAGTTTTTTTTTGTTTATTTCAAATGTCAAAAATCATACTTAGTGCATAAATTATTCAATACAGTTTTCACAGTAATTTTAACACTTATTCTATTTTACAAGATTACTCATCAAATCTAAATTTTTCACGATCCACAAAGAATGCACAATGAAATCGAAATGATATTCAACAAGTTACACAAATTTCACAAATGCATTGCAATTGTTATTTTTTTTGAAGAGCATTTTAAGAGCTTACGTATTATTCCCACGAACAGTTTTCCTTTTTATTCGTTCACGTTCAATTTAACTTTTATTCCGCACTATCAAGAGATCACTTCTGCGCACTGAACTGTGCACGCTGCTATAGGAAATGTTCACAAATCACAGGAGCATTTCGCTGTTTCATCCGCCCTCAAGGTATAGAAGTCTTCATGCTGTAACAAACAACATAATTTACAACAATTCATTGTAAAACATATCGTCAATTCTACGAACACACCAAACAAACATAGCAATCATGTCGTCAAATTATATTATACTAGTTGTTGTCAGCGGTTTCGCTCACGCGGTCAAAAAAATGTCAACATAGTTTCCCGTAGGAATGAATTTTCTTTCGGGTTAAAAGGTAACCGTAGCCTCTCCCGGCCTAATACTATCACTTTTTTTTTAAATATGTCAATCGGTAGCCTCTTTCGAAATGAAAGGAAGGCAAACATATACACTTTACAAACAAACACGCTCACATATTTAATATTATTAGTATAGATGACAGTACTAAAAGTAACGATGTTTTCCGATTTATTTTTTATTTATTTATTACACTTCATGTAAAATTCACATTGGCGGACTTAATGCCTAAGGCATTCTCTACCAGTCAACCAAAGGTAGTGCAGAGTAAATAGTGGTAGGTAATAGTGATTTAAAGCGTAACTTAAACGCTATTTCAAAGCAATTGAGACTTCATCTGCCGGTAGCCCAATCACTCAAGCCCAATCACAATCATATTGACCGGCTATAACAATTCATCTATGCTTTTTTAATGACGTGTGTAAGGTAGACAGACTATCTATTTGAAAAAGAAAAGGTAGGAAAAAAACAATGATAGTTTAATCGTAGTTTTCTTGATTATGATAAAATACGACCTGTACGCTTCAACGGAAAACTGCTATAAAATTTACCGTTAATTTTAAGTAATGCGATACATAAAACGGGTGCGTTCAGCGTCCAGCGTTTAATGTGTTGCCTGCAGTATGATTTTTCATTCAATCGCATTGGTATCAGGTGACTCACTTTGCCCAGAAGAGTAATCAACGTAAGTGCACTTTACAACGCTTGTCCTTTCGATTAGCAATGTGCATACATTACTACCAAGCACTCTTAAGCATGTTTGGGTTTTTTAATTGTAGTAAGTGGATAGAAAATTTTTATACACGATGAATGTCGCCACCATTTTTAGTGGTGGTAGAACCTCTTGTGAGTCCGCGCGGTTAGGCACCACCACCCCCTACCTATTTCTGCCGTGAAGCAGTAATACGTTTCGGTTTGAAGGGTAGGGCAGCCGTTGTAACTATACTTGAGACCTTAGAACTTATACCTCAAGGTGGGTGGCGCATTTACGTTGTAGATGTCTATGGGCTCCAGTAACCACTTAACACCAGGTGGGCTTTGAGCTCGTCCACCCATCTAAGCAATAAAAAAAAACCAACCTCACATAAAATGGAAATTAAATAGCGGTTCTCTCATCTATCAAACTGGAACGCATGACTGCTTCACGGCAGAAATAGGCAGAATCATAAGCCCATTCTGCCATGCATCATCATACCTAGCCGCGTGTACCCGTACGAACTCGGAATACATCATAAGCAATTACATATATGAAACATTTCATTTTAACTTAATGTCGAATCTTTATAACGGAATTCATTTTCGTTACTTAGAAACATAGAAAAACTCAATTGTTTTTTTCTTGTTTTGAAAGTAAAGCCTGTTTTTATAAAAAAAAACGAACAAAACGATACGAAAAATTCCCAAGAAATTGTACATCGTTTTTTTTTCCTGATGAAACGTAGTTTCGGATCTCAACAAGTAACAAATGATTACGTTTTGAAATACTGCTGTGAGCTGCTTTATTTACGGGATTACATAGACGAGAGGGACCCTCTGATTATGGATGACAAGTCATTGCCGGATATGGAAATAAAAACAGTCGGACCATTACCTTGACCTTAATACCGATTGTTCTTAATTTTATTTATATACACACAGTTAAACTATTCCTTTTGTTCAATACCTAATACTAAAACAATACTCTCTCAAATCCCATTAAATAAAACCTTAAATATAATTCGACTAAGCTACTAGGAGGTAAAGGCTAAAGACTGCTAGTAGCGGAAAAACAAAGTCGTAAGGTAATTTCTTCTCATACACAAACGAAACTGTCCAAGAACCAATAAAGACCATTCGGGTTCGCAGGAAGGCGTAGATAGTATAAATCTTTACGACCAGGACACCGCAATTAAGACGGATAACAAAGTCTGCACTGTTAGCCAAACCTTGCTTTAAATGGAAATCAACTCATGAATTTGCTAAATACCCACAAAATTACAAGTACACTTTATTCTTTGCTGACAAACTTTATTCTTTGCGGATTAAATGTTTTGAAAATAGAATAAAACTGACACTTTATTCTTTGCGGATTAAATGTTTTGAAAATAGAATAAAAAATACGTTCCGCTTTAAAAGTCCCTTTAAAAGTTTTACATATTAACTCATCTTCCACTTTCACTCACCAAACTTTCCAAATAAAAGTTACGTTTCTATGAAATTATCGTACAATATTCTTTGTCGTTCAATGGAGTGTCAGAGCAACGATGAAAGTTATTAAATGGCTTAGTACGCACACAAAGACGAATAAATTGAGTAAAGATCCAACATGTGCAAGAAATGGGCGCGGATTTACAAAAGAATTTCACCCAGAGGCTGAAGCGATAAAACAAACTGAATATTTCTTTGGTTTACGTGACCGTCTTCACTTTATGTGTTATATAAAAACACGAGACTCGTTCTGAAATCAAGTCTTTGGCGCGTTATACAAAATACTACGAAACACTTTACACTTTGCGAGAATATGTTACTTAAGAAAAATGTATTATGCACAATATCAACGCTGAGCTTGAAAGCGAAATAAAAAGAGTGCTTAATCAAATCTGCATTACATTACTTTAAATGAAAATATATAAGTATATGTATATGGAATGTATATGGAATGAAATAATGTTAGAAATGAAAGCAATGTTACTCACATATCCTTATTTATATTAAGGCCGGACTGTAGTTACCTTTTAATCTTTTCCGTACACCTGCAGGAGGAAAACAATGTCATGTCTACATTCCAAAAGACTGCACAACCGATAATGAACGTTATCAAGATTAATATTTAAAACAAATAATAAATTTAAAATAAATTACACATACAATTATTTCAAATTAGCGGACATTTAAAGCTTCACAATACAGTCAGTGAAACAAATCCACGAAACATGCTCTTTAAAAGAGAAAAAGACACTTACGTGTTTTGATTGTGGGACTCGGAGTGGGAGGCGGTCGGCGGCAAGAAACGTGCCAACGGCGGTTGCAGCAACATCTGCCTGAAGGTCTGCCGGAATTGCCGCGACATCGTGCAGTATAATATAAAATTTATCGCTCCATTCAGTAGCGCCAGAAAATCCATTAACTCTCCAAATAAATCGTAGCAACGTTTGAAGAAACACCAACCTAATAGGCCACTCATAAGTCCCAGTATGCCTTGAGGTAGCTCTGTGACCAGGAACAATAGAAGAACAGCTAACAGCATTTTAGTTGTCCTATCAGTTCTTTTATCAGCTTTGTTCTGTCTCTTCACCATTTTCTCTGCGGCCGGACAGGCACTATAGTTCCTTAAGTTTTTTTGATGCTGATTTGCTTTATATAAAGCCTTGATAAGCCATATACTTATGACAGTGAGTATTGAACAGGGCAGCAATTTGATGACGACGCCATGCACCCAAAAGTTGGCTTGATAAAGAGTACCCTGATAGTCCGAATCGACATGGTATGCGATGTCAGGATTTCCGTCAGCATTCGTGACGTTCTTCGTATGAATGTCAAAGACCTGCGAAAATAAACAATGAAATTGGATTCCATTCTATGATAATTCACATTGTATGGAAAATAGTGCATTCATTTTGCAAATTTAACTTTCGATACGTACACCGAATATGTATTCAGATGTGCGTTCGCTTTTAGTAAAAGGTGAACTCACCATAAACGTTGGCGTGCACAGTATCGGGGGCAATATGAAGCTCGTGAGTATTGCGATGCTACACCGCCGCTCCGTGCACAGTATGTGACTTCGATCCGAATACCTGCAAAACAAAAAAAAACGTTATCCGAATTTTTCACATTCATTCTTTCAATATCAAAGCTGGCTAACTTTACGCTGAAAATGGGACATTACCGAGATTTTTTATCCCCTGTAGGTCCCCCTGTATGTCCCCCTGTAGGTCCCCCTGTAGGTCCCCCTGTAGGTTCCCATGTAAGTCCCCCTGTAGGTCCCCTTGTAGGCCCCCCTGTAGGTCCCCATGTAAGTCCCCCTGTAGGTCCCCCTGTAGGCCCCCCTGTAGGTAACCCCTAAGTATAACTAAACTCTTTTGATGTATCGCGACACTCAAAATAATTTATTACAAAAAATCTTGTCCATAAACAGGACCCGAGTCATACTTTATTATGAAATGTGTCCCTTATCGTCCAAATTACACATTGTAGGTTTATATTTATCGCAATCCTGACAAACACAGTACTTACTTTATCGCGATGTATCTCCAAATAGCCAATGAAAGTGTCAGACATATTGATGCAGTGTGCAATATTTGGGCGAAGTGCATGTGGAATAACAAATACATCGCCCACGAATAAGGGAAATCCAATTTCTCTGGCAGGACCTGGAGAATAACGATATAGTTAAATGTGATTCGGGGTGTCGAAAAACGCACATTGCTGAGACGAGATTGCCAATATAAACCTAATCACTGAACACGACACCATTCGATCTCCTTTCTTTTATATGCATGGCCCTGATCGCATTTCGTCGTTGAAAACATTCTATTTGAATTGTAATTGGAATTAAAGATAACAGTGTATATATATTTATACTGGTGATAGGACCTCTTGTGAGTCCGCGCGGGTAGGTACCACCACCCCACCTATTTTTGCCGTAAAGCAGTAATGCATTTCGGTTCGGCAGCCGTTGTAACTATACTTGTGACCTTAGAACTTATATCTCAAGGTGGGTGGCGCATTTACGGTGTAGATGTCTATGGGCTCCAGTAACCATTTAACACCAGGTGGGCTGTGAGCTCGTCAACCCATCTACGCAATAAATAAAAAAAATAACGAAGCACATTTATTACAATTAAACTTAAAGCTACAATTTAAATTATATTAGGTCTAATGATAGGGAAGGGAGTTCGGTTCGCTCTGTATTTAGTAACGGGAGATTACTCCAATGAAATGTTGAAACGATCCTGTCATTTTAACCATCGTACTGTCAGTCACCACCCGAATTCACTCATACTATCTAGTACCCAAGTGCTCAATAACAGCGCCTTTCCATAGATCTTTTTACCACTCACTAGAGGTTTGAAATTAACTCTCCCCCACCCTGTCTCCTGAGCACCATGACATGTCTTTTTACCAATGAAGTATGATAATTAACGGCTTGTCTGTATACCTGGCGTTGCTGACGTCCATGGTGACCACTCATAGTAAGGTATGCTTGTATGCCTACTGTATCAATAAAAAAAGTGAAAACTGCAAATCGAACTTTAAGTTCCAAATCCATAGAGTTGTTTTTTTTCAACTCCAACTTAAGACCAAATTTTTCTGTTTCAGTTTTTGTAATTTTAGAAGCTTCCTAATTCTTTTAATAATATATTTAAGATAGAAAAAAAAGGGTGCGTGCCAGTAATAGCTAGTAGGTAGGTAGTGGTAGTATATGTGTTTATAGTGTATACTGTAGATAAATATCATGCTATATATCTATATCATATAGTATAATATATTTGATGATAAATGGTATATCTATACTTCTATACTCTATACTAATATTATAAAGAGGAAAGATGTGTTTGTTTGTTTGTTTATATTGAATAGGCTCCGAAACTACTAAACCGATTTGAAAAATTCTTTCACTGTTTGGAAGCTACACTATCCCCGAGTGATATAGGCTATATTCTTTTTTTTTTATTACAGATCCTTACTAAAACTCCAATAATGTAAGCCAAGGTGTAAAAAAATTACCTAAAATATTCTTTACATCGCGTACCCTGCGAAAACTATTGATGATAGAATAAAATAATGTACTACGACTTTGTGGAACACTTTATTATTTACAAAAGGTGTCGCGACAGCATATGTCTTACTATTATAGTTATGCCGCAATAAGTGTTCTTTTATTAAAAAAAATTAAACAACGTCAAATATCGTTGATTTTTTTGTTAAAGACCCGAGCGGAGCCGTGGCGTGCCGCTAGTCATACTATAAATACACAAAACAAACAAAAGTAAACCAATGCTATACATATTTATAAACGAAAGGACGCAGCAAAAGTAAATTCTTGCATACCAATTAACACAGTTACTCATCGATTTCATTAAGTAGTTTCATATTTGAATGAAATACCTTTATCTAGTCCATTATCATGTACGCTATATAGCCTGAACTAGTATCTAGGGATCAATATTTTTTAGATAACGATGTTATTAGGCAAAACGTGAAAATTTTTCATTGATCTGGCTTTCAGCCGCCACTATAAGGTTCCCGTTGAAACTACCATATTTGGAATACAACAACAAATTTTAAAGTCGTATTTATAACAACCGTTACAATCTGATCTTCTAACACAGCGTGTTATGATTTTGATCTACTAATCTTCTACACGGAAAAGAGTCATTGAGTTACGGATATCAAGCTGTTATGGTGGTGAATCGAAGGTGATGCATCATGCTCGTCACCAGTCCAATAAAGTCAATTGCTCGAGATAGATATCACCCAAAGATCGCCACAAAATGAAAATAGTAAAGTTGTGTCCGGCTGCGGACATCACTAATAAATATATGTTTTATTTTTTGACTATGCATGACTTAGACTGTACGTACTTAGGCCAGTATGAGTCGTACGTTATATATTGTGCAATAACAGACCTATTTCTTCTAGTCTAGTCTAATCATTGTATGAATGCATTTATACTTGAAAATTTTCCGTATCATTCCAATAATTATATTATATTTATTTTAAAAAGAGCAAGTCTTATGTTTCTTGCCAATTCTTCTCAATTGTGAAAGGAACATGTGGTAGAGTCATGAGAGAGAGCGAAAGAGAGAGTATGCTTTATTGTACACAAAATAAATAAAAATGCAAAATATTTAATACAAAAAAGTACAATACGCGGTCTTATCGCTAAAAGCGATCACTTCCAGACAACCATTAGGTGGACAAAAATCACTTTAGGAAAGAAATTACACGCAAATAGCATTTTTTTTTAAATGTGGGACCATTACTTTTTTATTTATTTTTCTACTATACCTATATACTACTACTACTACTATACCTATATTTGAAGTCGTCGTGGCCTATAGGATAATACGTCCGGTGCATTCGTATGTAGTGATGCACCGGTGTTCGAATTCCGCAGGCGGGTACCAATTTTTCTAATGAAATACGTACTTAACAAATGTTCACGATTGACTTCCAGGGTGAAAGAATAGCATCATGTAATAAAAATCAAACCCGCAAAATTATAATTTGCGTAATCACTGGTGGTAGGACCTCTTGTGAGTCCGCACGGGTAGGTACCACCACCCCGCCTATTTCTGCCGTGAAGCAGTAATGGGTTTCGGTTTGAAGGGTGGGGTAGCCGTTGTAACTATACTGAGACCTTAGAACTTATAATATCTCAAGGTGGGTGGCGCATTTACATTGTAGATGTCTATGGGCTCCAGTAACCACTTAACACCAGGTGGGCTGTGAGCTGGTCCACCAATCTAAGAAATAAAAAATAAATAAAAAAATTGAATGACATGTAATTAATATGAGAAATAATTTTATAAGCTTCACAATTTTCCTGCTACGTCTCTTTATAATTATACTTCATCAACTCATACTTGTCTGACATTAAAATAACATGTAGATTGAATATTGTCACAAGTTATCATACCACCCTAATCATAAGTAGCAGATATTTGATATTTATCATCATTCAAATTCATGAGTAAAATTATACAGAATTCCATCAACAATCAAGACTTTACACAGCACTCAATTCACGAAACCCTTTGTTAAAATTACTGTTGTTATGTATACCGAGATATGAACTGAAGATTTTACTGGCAATAACCGTTTCATGGTATAATAACACTGATATTAGACTCGATTTTAGTTCAAATATTTTGAGCTTAATGTCCTCTGATGTGCACAACTAAAATCTCGTTTCAGTTATATTGTGTATTCTAGCAGTAGACAGCGGCTTGGCTCTGCTCCTGGCATCGCTGAAGTCCACGGGCGACGGTAACCACTTATCATCAGGTGGGCCGCACGCTCGTCAGCCTACAAAGGCAAAAAAAAAATTAAATAATAAATGAACTATAATAGTAGTTTATAGTAAATAAATTTTAAAAATATTTTTGGTTTATGCCACCAAATCATCAAGAATATCTTTACATTTTATTTTATTGCACTCGATATTTAAGCATTCTAACGGCCAATCCGGTGTTAAGCGCATATGTAAAGCCCATATGTGTATTCCATGATGTGAATGGCGCTACTCGCATTGAACCATGAGATCAGTGCCTCAATTTCAAGATATTTCGGCAGTCTCAGTCTTCGTAAAGTTATCCGAAACTGCTTCAAAGCAGACATAAGCAGGATAGTTGATCCTACTCGTACAAGCTCACAGCACACCGTACCTTTAGTAATCACCAATCTATTCCGTGGTAATCACAATATTGGACAATCTATCTATCTATATATACTTATATAAAAATGAATTGCTCTTCGTTAGTCTCGCTAAAACTCGAGAACGGCTGGACCGATTTGGCTAATTTTGGTCTTGAATTATTTGTAGAAGTCCAGAGAAGGTTTAAAAGGTAGATAAATATGAAAATGCTCGGAATTAAATAAAAATAACAATTCTGTTTTTCCTTTGATGTGTCCCCCGTCGGACGGATTCCTTTTGTTCGTTTTAAGTTTATTTTATACAAAAGTTTAGATCTTTTATTTACCGATTGAGGTACTACCAAGTCTGCCGGGTCAGCTAGTAAAAAATAATAATTAAATTTTGCTTTTCTATTACAAAATGTTAATAGTTCATGAACACATGTCAAGTACGTATCTCTTTAGATAAATTGTTACATGGTTCGGGAATTCGGAGCATCATTATAGTTTCATTACACACCACGCATTTTATCTTTCAGGCCACGCCTTCATTTATTACTAAAGTTTTATACAACATTTATTTTTTCGGTTTGTCGAAGAGTGTTTTCATGCTCATTTACAGAACAACGTAAACTCTTTGAATGCTTTTAAAATGCATTCAGATAAGCTGCGATTACACTTATAGTCATATATTTCGAGTCGGTTGACTAATTGTTTAAAATATTTGTTAATCTTGAGTTCACGGACAAGCGCTAGTTTCAAGATTTGAAACTCTTATTTATACCAAGCAAAGCTCGTAAGCAGGTCTTGTAAAATGGTCATAGTAGTTCATCAATACCGCAACTCGCCTTGAGACGTGAGGCCATAGTCTCAATTGTTTTGTACTATGCCTGCCCTAGATAAATTGGAGCTAATAACTGCTGCGCAACATAAAACTTTATGATTGACAATTGATTCATAAGGTGGTAGCTTTTGGTAGGTTCGGTGCTATAATATAAACTAAAAGAAACCTATACCCAGCAGTGGACGACTGTATGCTCATGATAATGATAATCATAGCCTAAAGTAAATGTACTAAGAAAGCACATTATTTTTTATGTAATAGGATACTTGCAGTCAAAAATTAAATTATTAAAAGAAAATAAAAACATTTTGAGATAAAAATCGGGTCGATATTAATTTTCTTTTGCCCCGGACTTGGATAGCGATATTCATAACATCTCTTGTTTGAAAAATAAAAATCGAAACGTGTTTTTTATCTTGGAATAAAAGTAGCGTATGTCTTTCTGGTACATGACGGTATTATTTACAAATATTTGTAATTTTCTTTGTTTACTTTTTGTATTAGAAATAAAATAATCACAACTGGTTTTTTCACAACCAAAAAAACAAGACTACGTAGCTTTACCAAATCCCCTCCTAGAAACAAACAGATGCAGCTTTCTTCCATCAATCTTGGTAATCCACGTGTCGAACAATGACATTATTACCATTTTTTTCTCGAACCCTTACCATATTTAGGAACTTGAACGGGGAAAGTTTCCGCTTTGTATGCTTTTCAAGTGTCAATTTGCAACAAATTTTTCTTCCCTTCCCTTTGAAGATATTCTTTTGTTTGGGAATTAATAAGCTCTACCTTTTTATCAGCTTTTTATCATCACATACGCGATTGTAAAGCAAAATACGAGTCTTCAAATTTTATAAAATATAAAAGGTCTAGTTACGTATTTAAGCTCGCATACTGGACACTTTCGAGACTTTCATTGCTTATAAAAATAAAAACGATATTAGTCACTATCAACTAAGTCCCTTCTAAAGCTCGTCATAAACACTGGTGGTACTACACTACCCGCAGCCAGCGGATTCCTTTAAATAGTTTCAACTTTCTCCCGATGTGGGTTCACCATTTGATAGCTTTATGGTCGCAGAAGCTATGTGTTGTACTGAACTTCCCACTGCCACTTCAACTTCAAGCCCGTCCTGCCTATTTCTGCCGTGAAGCAGTAATGCGTTTCGGTTTGAAGGGTGGGGCAGCCGTTGTAACTATGCTTGAGAACTTAGAGCTTATATCTCAAGGTGTGTGGCGCATTTACGTTGTAGATGTCTATGGATTCCAGTAACCACTTAACACCAGGTGGGCTGTGAACTCGTCCAACTATCTAAGAAAAAAAAGGCTGCTTGCGAGTTGTTATATAAATGAACATGGACAGAACAAAAATTATATCGAATGTCCAAGTAGTATCCTTTCATGTAAAGATCAAAGACTATGCCCTCGAAACTGTTCGCGCTTACCTTTGGTAAATGTCCAGTTAGGTAGAACCAACTAACTTCGAGAAAGAGGTCAATCGTAGAACTAACTTGGGCAGCAGCGTTTGTGAACCTGTCCCGATCGTGTAAATGAAGCTCAACAAAGGCTAATACAAAGATGAAACTTGTGAAGCGATCCCGTTCTTGTTCATATTGAAATAAACTTAGCTTAGTGCTGTTTGTTTGCATCATTATCATTTATCATTTCCATACTGTAGATTTATAATGTGTATGTAAGTATATTAGAATGTATTTTAAGTAAGTATATATATTGGTATATAAATCAGTTAGCTATATATTTCATATTATATGTAAACAGTATATATCTGTTTATTGTTTATATATATTTTCTATAATAATGTATTGTCTATAGTACACCGCAACATACCTGCAATATTTTTATATTTTCCAGAATTTCTGTAAATTAAACGGTTGTCTGGAAGAGATCGGTTTTTGGCGATAAGACTGCCTATTGTACAAATGTATCTGCTTTTTGACTGTTTTTTTAATGTAAATTGTGTTTTGGTGTGCAATAAAGTGTATTCTCTCTCCTCTCTCTCTCTCTCTAAAAAATTGAGACTAGAAATAGGTGCTCAACTTATAAAATCGATAGTACTGGTGGTAAGATAATATTATGTACACCAATACTAAGTTAAACCATAAACTGCAAAACACAAAACCTTCCTTACAATTCCTTCGGTAATTTTTACATAATGCATGATGATCAAAAAATTTGTGACTATAAGGAACCACGTAGACAAACAATTAATCAGTTCACATATATATGTATGTGATTTGGAGTCAGGTACTCTTTAAAACACCGAATGCTTTAACGACACTATTTTGTTTCCAAACATTTTATGTTAGCATACCACACTTGAAAACATTGTTTTTTTTATTGCTTAGTTGGGTGGACAAGCTCGCAGCCCACCTGGTGTTAAGTGGTTACTGGAGCCCACAGACATCTACAACGTAAATGCGCCACCCACCTTGAGATATAAGTTCTAAGGTCTCAGTATGCAATACTGCTTCACGGCAGAAATAGGCGGGGTGGTGGTACCTTTCCGTGCGGACTCACAAGAAGTCCTACCACCAGTGATCTATCACCAGTAAATCTATGTACCAAAACACACACTTACCAAATGTCGGTATATTACAAATGGCATGTACTCGATCATGACGAATACGTCTGCAACGGCTAGCCACTTCAGCAACCTGTTTATCGGAGCAGCTGCCATATCTCGTCGCGTCAGCACCGCAATGTTCATTGAATTTGCCAGAACACCAATCGTGCAGACCTGGTGAAATAAAAGTCACTTTTGTGAAATTACTTGTGACTAGTCACTTGTGTGAAATTTGTTTACTGGTGGTAGGACGTCTTGTGAGTCCGCGCGGGTAGGTACCACCACCCAGCCTATTTCTGTCGTGAAGCAGTAATGCGTTTCGATTTGAAGGATGGGGCAGCCGTTGTAACTATTCTTGAGACCTTAGAACTTATACCTCAAGGTGGGTGGCGCATTTACGTCGTAGTTTTGTATAGGCTCCAGTAATCACTTAACACCAGGTGAGCTGTGAGCTCGTCCACCCATCTAAGCAATAAAAAAAACAGGTAAGTTAAAATACGTGAATGTAATTCACGGTAAAAAGAAAAGCGTCAAATTTGTAATTAGTAGGCGTGTATTCATTTACAATGGCATCATGTTTGCCAGTCGATGTTTTTAATTAATCTATCTCATGAATACCAACCGGTACGTTAATTAAAACAGCAAAATATTTCATTAAAATTGATCATGGATGTTGCATTACACACGATTCAATTAACTGCTTTTGTTATTGATACGGCTTGGCATTCTTTTCAAAATATTTGTGTAATGATTTTAATTCTTCTTAAATAATTTAAATTAATTAATTTATAATAAATAATAAATAAATTAGTTAATTTCTTAAATAAATTAATTATTAAATTGGGTGTGGCCAGGATATGTAATAAGAATATTTTTAGTAAGGATATTTAATAGTCTGATATAGTTATAATAGACCCATGTGGGTTGCAGTGACTGGTTTGACAAGTTGCAGTTGATTTGTCAATTGATGGGTATTTTGATGAATTGATGATTAAAACGAAACACGCTAATCAAGAGCACCGAGTGAAATGTCACTCGGTGCTCTTGAGTTCTACTAGAAGACTGCTCTGAGGAATTGTTCGAGATGATACCGGCATCTCGTTTTTACCATCGCACCGCCCGCCGCCGGAGTAGAGTTCATCCATACTACCTGGAGCCACTGCGGTCATCCACAGTGCGTTTCCAGAGATCTTTTTTGCCACGTACCACCCGGCTATGGAATGAGCTCCCCTCCACGGTGTTTCCCGAGCGCTATGACATGTCCTTCTTCAAACGAGGCTTGTGGAGAGTATTAAACGGTAGGCAGCGGCTTGGCATTGCTGAAGTCCATGGGCGACGGTAACCACTCACCATCAGGTGGGCCGTATGCACGTATGCCAACAAGGGCAATAAAAAAAAAAATTAAAAAAAAAATTTAAAAAAAATTAAAAAAAAAAAAGACTTGCTGTACGTAACGTAACTAATAATTTGTATACACAAAGCAGCGACTATTGTGGAAAATCGGAGTAGCCCTGAATTGGGAATCATGTATCTTTCAGTATTCACATCAACAACAGACGAATGTAACAGGCGTAACGAGAACAATGCTCGAAGCTTTTAGAGCTAGGCATAAAATACAGGAGCTTTTACATGTATATTTTGAGATAAAATAAAAAAGTAACCACAGTAGTGTAATGTACGACAGCCTGTTTTGTAGTTTATTTTAGTAGTTTATTTATTATTTCCTACTAGCGACCCGCCCTCGCTTCGCTTCGGAAACTGTAATTTATTATTGATTTCTTCACTATTTAATGTATGTTATTATACATGTAAACCTTCCTCTTTAAACACTATAACTATTAAAAAAACCGCGTCAAAATCCGTTGCGTAGTTTTAAAGATTTAAGCATACATAGGGATATAGGGACAGAGAAAGCGACTTTGTTTTATACTATGTAGTGTTAGTTAGTAATAGACAATTAATACTATTTTTATACCTAAGGCCCGTAATGTCAATCGTAGTTTAAACTTAAATTGAAAATTTAAACGGTCACTGAAGATCAACTCGTAATTTTAATCATAGTTAAACTCTCCTTCGGAGCTTAAGCTATCTTAAACTTTAAGCGGTCACGAGGGAACAATTAAGCCATGAGGTGGGGCTTAAGCTGTTCTTTTCAAAATGGCCGCTCGAAATCAACAGCTTTGTGTCAAGCTCAGTGAATAGAGATTTATAAACTAACTAGCTGACCCAGCAGACTTCGTAGTGCCTCAATCGATAAATAAAATACCTAAACTTTTGTATAAAATAAACTTAAAACAAACAAAAGGAATCCGTCCGACGAGGGACACATCAAAGGAAAAACAAAATGGTTTTTTTTTATTTAATTCCGAGCATTTTTGTATTTTTTTACCTTTTAAACCTTCTCTGGACTTCCACAAATAATTCAAGACCAAAATTAGCTAAATCGGTCCAGCCGTTCTCGAGTTTTAGTGAGACTAACGAACAGCAATTCATTTTTATATACCTAGTCAGGTCATAAATTCTGTCACATGTTTAATGTAAAATAATTGAAACAAGTTTATTCATTATGTAACCATTCATATACCAAAATGAACTTAACAAAACATAGATTCTTATGACACTAAAGTTTATTCAAAATGACCTCCGTGATTTTGAATACAGGCCTTCAANTATTTTTCATACCCCTAAGTGATTAGGGTTGTCCACTCCTAAAATTTTTTTTTTATTTGGGCATTTTTTATAATGAGGTATTATGTGTTTGAATGAGGTTTTCTTATTTTTATTATATATTCCCTCATCTTCACAGCACTACAAACCTCTTTCACTCATTTACCACATCCTTACACACTTACAATAAGTTAGTTTTTTTTTCTACACTAGAAATTCCCTAGAAATCTTATTTAAGGCAAAACAATGTTTGCCGGGTCAGCTAGTATTTTTATGAAATCGAATTAGGATAGCGAATCGTAAGCTTCGTTTTATGACATTGTAAACAATATCTGTTTTATCTAATTACATTTTTATACTTAACAAGATCTGTATCATGATTTCAATCGTGTGAAATTCGATATAAACAATATTATTCATAATTAACATTATCTCATAATGATATTATAGATTTACAATTGCTGTATTAAAAAAATCATTTTCTTTTGTTTTTTATTGCTTAGATCGGTGGACGAGCTCACGGCCCACCTGACGTTAAGTGGTTACAGGAGCCCATAGATATTTACAACGTAAATGCCGCCATCCACCTTGAGATACGTGTTCTAAGGTCTCAGTATAACGTCTGCCCCACCCTTCAAACCGAAATGCATTACTGCTTCACGGTAGAAATAGGCAAGGTTGTGGTACCTATCCGTACGGACTCACAAGAGGTCCTACCACCAGTAAGTATCTTGTCAATAAATGTCATGAAATGAAATTTTCCTACTCGTAGCTCAGTCACAAACATTTTCTCAACAGTATTAGTCGCACCGTAACTGAAATTGGACGATAATTAATCATTCTAATTTACACAAGGTTACAAAGTTTATTTTTCACAATTTACGTTCTATATTTCAATGTGTGGACATACTTATGTTACAGATTCATTAAGCATCTATTTTATCACTGTATCAATCATTTTTTAAAACATTTCAAAATGTCAGGTAATTCCTATTCCTACAAGCATGCACCTTTGTGAATTCGGGCCTTATCCTCGTGAGAAAGTACGAATTAGAAAGGAAATCATCAAATAAAGATGACTTTCTTAAAATAACACACAAACATCATTTAACGGCACAAAATCCAAACAGAATTAATAATCAGGATCATATCAGAGTTTTCAAAACTTCTCTAACAAATAACAGTTTTGAAACAGGAAAGCCATACTCCTTTGGCAATAAACTAGAAAAACAAATGACAAACATTTGGATTATTCGATTGAAAGATAACTTCAAATCACTTAATACTTTAGCTATTCTCCAAAAAAGTTAGATTCTAATTTAAACAAAAAATAATAGAAGCAAAAGCCTGGTAATCTATCAGCAATGCTTACAGAAATAGAAAGTCTGATTGTCATCAGATATATTAAATAACCATAAAAATTATAACTGTTTAAAACGCCTGCAATTTTTTTATCGCAAATTTAAGTCTGACGTGCTTAAAAATCGAACTAGCGCACGATCCTATATTTATTCCTGATCTCACAATTCTCGTACTTTATACATATACACCGCATACAGTACATCTAAAACTAGACGATGGGGTGCTAGGCCCAAGTAATAAAAGTAATTTTAACAACATAATTGTAAACAGAATCATTCGTTTGTGTAATTTGCACAATGACTAATTTTGATGTTGTCTTCCAATGAAAAATATTTAAATTACATTAATTATGTACTTAAATATTGATACGCGCTGGGGTTCGGGATAAATAAAAGTTCCACCGAAGTACAATTTAAAACTTTATTAAACACTTAGAACACCTAAAGAACCCTTTAAAATTCTCAATTCACTTAATCCGCTTCGTTACAGGTGATCCGTTCGCTGTTTCGCTTCGAGTATCCGATTACTAACTGCCTTCGTGTCATCTCTGCAACGCTTTTATAGTCGATACGACATCTCTACAATTATCGAAAACATTCCTGATAGGTCAAATAGTTTCGATATGCGTTTCCGTTATTTGATAATAGATGGCATTGCACTACTCGAGCGTTCTCGATTTTACTAGTTCTTTTGATGTTCGTTTCTGCTATTCTACGACAGATGGCGTTACTCTTACCGACGTAACAATAGGCTTCCTAGCATTGCGTTCTACTTTAATCGAAGATGTCTCAATGTCTAGACACGCAAATATTGGCATTACATGAAGTCGTCGTGGCCTAAAGGATAAGATGTCCGGTGCATTCGTGTGTAGCGATGCACCGGCGTTCGAATCCCGCAGGCGGGTACCAATTTTTCTAATGAAATACGTACTCAACAAATGTTCACGATTGACTTCCACGGTGAAGGAATAACATCGTGTAATAAAAATCAAACCCGCAAAATTATAATTTGCGTAATCACTAGTGGTAGGACCTCTTGGGAGTCCGCACGGGTAGGTACCACCACCCCACCTATTTCCGCCGTGAAGCAGTAATGCGTTTCGGTTCGAAGGGTGGGGTAGCTGTTGTAACTGTACTGAGACCTAA